GACAAAAACCCAGAAAATATGGGAAAATATGGGGACTATTTTTATTTGTGTGTATTTATTTGTGTGTCCTGATTTCCCTTTAGAGAAGTCAGATCGGCATCGGCGGGTGTCATGGGGAGATGCCGATACAGCTGCTCGTCCCGAGGAGCCCCCGTCGCCACAGCTGGGTTCTTTTTCCAGATTCCTCTCGCTTCGCGGGGTGCACGTCCGGAGCACGTACAGGCCAGTCGTTGCGGTGCCTCTCGGGAGCTTCTTTGCGGAGGTGTCTTGGAGGCGTCTTGGGGCCTCTTCTGCACTGGGCTTCTTTGAGGCCTCTTGGGGGCGTCTTGGGCCGTCTTGGGGCGCTCTTGCGGCGTGTGGCCCATGCGGAGGCCGGTGTTTACAATGCGCGTGGTGCTCGGCAGTGTTTATGCGAGAAGCGGTGCACAGCTCCCAGCGTGACAAAGCAGACTTGCTCTGCCCCGCTTGCTGGCGGGCAGAGTAGGCGCCGCGAAGCCGATCCAGACTGGTAATCGCCACTGTGCGAGTGTTCAAATGTGGAAGGTGCGGGCGCTGGTTGGCGTGACCTGCTCGGCTGCCGCGCGTGCGTGCCGCTCCATCCTGCAATCCTGAGGGCTTCTGGGCGGCCTCATGGGGGGCTCTTGGGTGCCTCTTGAAAGCCTCGTGGGGGTTTCTTGGAGCGTCTTTGGGGCCGCTTGGGGGCCACTTGGGGCTTCTTCTTGGCGTCTCGCGCCGTCTTGGGGCGCTCTTGCGCCGTCTGGCCCTTCGAAGGCCATCTTGGAGGCCTCTCGCGGCCGCCTTGGGGCTCTCTTGGAGTCTCCGTGGGCCGTCTTCGAGGCACCTCGGACACTCTTGCCGAAGTTTTTGATGTTCCATTGGTTTTTGTAGATTTGAGGCCCCAGAAGGACGGCCGCCACCTTTTGGTACGGCGCTGTGGCGCGACTCCAGGGGGGTTATTAGGGGGAGGCAGACTATTGCAAAAAAGTGCAATATGTGGCGATTTGGCAATCCTTGGATACATTGGATACGCTGCATTATCGCCTCCGCAGAAAACGCTGCCGCTCAGCAATTCACTTCCGGACGATGATTTATTGGCTTTCGCCGCACCGCCGACCCCTTGAGGCGGCAGCAAGAGTGAAAGACAGAATTCGCGGAACGCGCGCGATCGCTGGCCAATCCTGGGGTGTCAGCCTGTCCTACGTAGCGTGTGGGGTTCAACGGGGGGCCTTGTAGGGGATTGTTTTGAAGTTCTTCGTTGTCGTATGTGGGTTTTTCTTGGGGCCTCCACGGGGCCTGTCCCAGGCCTCTTTCTCCACCTCCTGGACAGGCTCGGGGATCGTTGATACCCAGCTGGGGTTGCGTCCGGCCAGAAGTTCGAGAGTGGACCCAGCTGTGTCGACGAGGAGCTTCCTGAAGGCCCAGAGCGGGCGGAGAGCGCCCAAGAACTAGGAGTCTCATGCCTCGAGCCTCGATCCACCCCGTGTTCCTTCTTTTGCGAAGGGGTGGCGCTGGCCAGGGAGGCCGACCATCATCCCAGACTTTCGGCGGTGGTCCCCGGCACCGGAAACGGTCCTTGGAGGCTGAATTCGAGGAGATGCCTCGGGTGGCCGACAAGCCACGGAAATCTGTGAGAGATCGGCGGCGACGGCGAAATTGCTTTTTGTGTTTGTTCTTCCTCTTCCTCCTCCTCGTCCTTCTCTTCTTTTTCTTCTCGATCGAGGTAAATGCCCGCGGCAGTTATATATTCACACATCTATATGTGTATATCTATATATATATATATTTCTCGAAGACGCCTACGGCGAATCACCGCCGCCCCCAGCCTTTTTGGAAACGCCTATGTGGCCGAACGTTGAGGCCAGACCTGCGAAGCTATCGGACCATGTGTTCCCCGGGTCGGTTTGGAAAGCCTTCGGGGAACACGTGGGCATCTCGAAGGTCATCTTAGCCGCCTGGAGGCCATTTGGACATTTTTTGAGGCCTTCTTGGAGGGTTCTTGGGCTTTTTTGGAGGCCATCCTGAGCGTTTTGGGGGCCTCTTTGGCCGTTTTGGGGGCCTCTTGGGGCCGTCTTGGGCATCGTGGGCGATCTTTGGGGGGCATTTGGGCCGTTTCGGGCCGTCGGAAGGCCGAAAAAAAAAATACCACAATCCTTCAACAACTCATGGGAAATCAATGATTTGGGCCTTTTCGGGCCTTCCTGGAGGCCATCTTGGAGGCGCCTTGGGCTGTCTTGGGCCATATCAGGGCCATCATCGGCCGTCTTGGGGGGCTCCTGGCGTCTGACGCCGTCGGAAGCTGTTTGGAGCGCCTCTCTGGACCGATTTGGGGCCCTCTTGGAATGTTCCAGGGCCGTTCTGGAGGCCGTCTTGGGCGTCTTAAACGCCTCCTGGGCCGTTTTGGGGGCCTCTTGGGGCCGTCTTGGGGGCCTCTTGGGCCGTTTTGGGGCCATCTTGGAGGCCTCTTTGGCGATCTTTGGGCGATCTTTGGGGGCTCTTGGGCCGTCTCGGGCCGTCGGAAGGCCGAGAAGAAGTACATGTCCAAATCCTTCAAATACCGATGGACAATCAGTGTTGTTGGCCTCTTGGGAGCCTCTTGGGCCGTTTTGGGGCGGTCTTGGGGGACTCTGGGGCCGTTTTCAACGCCGTGAAGGTCGAAAAGTCGTGTATGATAAACATGTACGTTTTCCCATCGGAATTCGACGATTTTGGCCTCTGGGGCCCCTCTTGGGAATGCTCTTGGAGGCTTCCTGGGCCGTCTGGGAGGCTTCTGGGGTCGTCTTGGGGCCATCCTGGGCGTCTTGGGCCGACCTTTGGGCGTCTCGGGGGCCTCTTGGGCCGTCGTGGGGGTTGCTTGGAGCCCTCGTGGGGCCTGATGACACCTTTGCCCCCCCAAAAAAAACGGGCCGGGCTTGGCTCCCGGGGGAGGGGTTTGGGGAGGGGCCGGGGAAGACTCTCACACGCCGTGACCCCGAGGTCAAGGGAGTGGCGGCATCGGTACATTTTAGTCCCCCGAGGGCTGTTACATTTCAGTGTCCATTCCGATCCGATCGTTCCGATTCGATATCGATTCCAGCTGGCCCAGATTGGTTTCCGACGATCCAATAGGGCCCGATGTTGGCATGGCGTTGTTGTGCATCTTGGCGTAGCCGGTCCCTACGCAGCCTGGTCCGACGCACATCCCCATTCGATCCGACGTCCCGACTCGATGTTGACTGATTTCTGTTTTTGCAGACTGATCTGAGAGCGTCCGTCAGGAATCATGTGGTCATTGCGTCCCTCGGCCTCTTAGGGCCTCGGGTTGCAGGCTTCTTGGGACCATGTCTTGTTCCCGCAGGGTTGCGTCCTTCGAGCGTGCGCGCCTCGCATGCGTCTGGCATTACGCATACCAACGTCAGGGGCATTCGGATTACAAACCTGTCCACCGGCCCCACCCCATGGTCACAGGGACGCATGCGAAGCGACAGTGAAAGTTTACGGAAGCAAGTACACATGATTGTTGCGCAGAGGTCGTGAGAACATGGCAGAGTTGAGAGGGGCAAGAGCATTGCCGTGTGTAGAGCCAGCTACGTATCATTGCCCATCTGTTGCATGGCTGAGGGTGCCATTCGCACATCGAGGTTTGCGTTTTTTTTTGTTCTGGCGTTTGCAGCAAGACTAGAGTGCGAATCATCAGACACGTGAGATATAAAATCTGGCGCGCCATGCGATTCGCTCGGCTCGCCTAGCGGTAGGGGTGGAACTCTGTCTTGGGGTCAAACAAATCAACGAAGCGGGGTTGGTAATTAGTTGTTACTTCGCAGTGCGAGGAGAGTCGGGCAGTGAGAATTGGCGAATGAGCAGCACGACCGACAAGGTCAAGAGGTATCGAAGCAGGGCCGTGTACAGAGTGCTCGCGCGCATTCCGAATATAAGGAACTTTACACACTGTTCATGTCTAAGTCTTCGAAATTTCTTTGTTTTTTTTGGGGCCAAGATCCTCATTTCTGGTTGTTTTATCCCCTTGGCCTCTTCCTGGCCACTGGGGGGCCGGGCACACTTAGAGACGAGCACAGTCAGAAACGAGCACAATTAGAAAGACACGACGTGCAGCTGGACTGCCGAATTGTGAGGCAGCCTGACCTCCGGGGCATGGCGGGCCACGCCGCCCTGTCGCTAGCGCAGAGGCGCGCCGCCCGTGGCGACGCATCCCAGCGATGCGCTTTCGCGCCGTGGCGCCCACTGGTGCCATCCGGGGGCCGCCCGGCTGCTGCATCCGATCGGCCATCTCTGCGCACATACGTGTCTCCCTCCTCCTCCTCCTCCTCCTCCTCCTCCTCCTCCTCCTCCGCCTCCTCCCTCCTCCTCCTCCGCCTCCTCCCTCCTCCTCCTCCCTCCCTCCTCCTCCTCCTCCTCCCCCCTCCCTCCTGATCTCCTCCTCCGCCTCCTCCGCCTCCGCCGCCTCCTCCGCCTCCTCCGCCTCCGCCCTCCTCCTCCGCCTCCTCTGCCTCCTCCTCCTCCGCCTCCTCCGCCTCCTCCTCCTCCGCCGCCTCCTCCCTCCTCCGCCTCCGCCTCCTCCTCCTCCGCCTCCTCCTCCTCCTCCTCCTCTGCCTCCTCCTCCTCCGCCTCCTCCGCCTCCTCCTCCTCCGCCGCCTCCCCTCCTCGCCTCCGCCTCCGCCTCCCTCCTCCTCCTCCTCCTCCTCCTCCTCCTCCTCCTCCTCCTCCGCCTCCCTCCTCCTCCTCCTCCTCCTCCTCCTCCTCCTCCTCCTCCTCCTCCTCCTCCTCCTCCGCCTCTGCCTCCTCCTCCTCCTCCTCCTCCTCCTCCTCCTCCTCCTCATCATCATCATCATCAGGCTCGACGGGTGCCCCGCAGGATCCGCAGGTGCACGTGCCACCGAGTCTGCCTCAACGGTGACCGTTTCGGCTGCAGCTCGCGGTCTTTCAGTCGCCACCCGTGCGCGCGCGAGTGCTGGACTTCGCCGCCAGCGCGCGGACTGCAGCCCGCGCAGCCCGCCCGCGGACTCATGGCCACCGGGCTGCCGGGGCTGCTGGGACCGAAGCTGCTGCGAGGTGGCCAGGAGATCGACACGGCGTCCGTGTGCAGCGGCACGGTGGCGCTCTACTTCTCTGCCCACTGGTGCCCGCCATGCAGATCCTTCACGCCGCTTTTCTCGAAGGTCTACAAGCGGAGCAAGGAGCAGGGCAAGTCTTTCGAAGTGGTGTTCATCTCCTCCGACCACGACGAGTCGTCCTTCCAGGAGTACTACGGCACGATGCCGTGGCTGGCGCTGCCTTTCCACAACAGCGCGCAGCGGCAGAGCCTCGGCACGGCGTTCGGCATCCGGGGCATCCCCGCGGTGGTGCTGGTGTCTGGCGGCGGGTCGCTGATCGACAGGACCGGCGGCGCGGTCGGGGGCGGAAGTGAGAGGGGGCGGGCCTTCTTAGAAGGCTCGGAAGCCCTCTGGCCTCCTGAGCAGTTTTCGGAGCCTCCCCCGGAGACGCAGGACACTTCGCAGAAGGCCGGAGGGCTTCTGAGAAGCCCCCCCGCCGTCTGAGAAGGCGTTCTCCTTCTCGCTTCCCCCTGGATCGCCGCCGGCAGGAGTGCAAACGCGAAGGTCATGTCGCCAGGCTTCCTGGCCTCGCTCCCGCGCGTGCTGGACGTCGAGGGCGACGTGGGGCCACTGCCAGCAGAGCCAGTCCCCGTGCGCATCCGCCACCGCGGTCGGGTCGTGGAGGTCGAGGTGGACCCCGACGACGACTGGGAGATCTTGCGAATGCAGGTATTCTCCGCCACCGAGGTTCATGGGCTGACATGGGCACAGAGAATGCTCCTCCTCCTCCTCCTCCTCCTCCTCCTCCTCCTCCTCCTCCTCCTCCACACGAAGAGCGGCAGCAGTTCCTGCCCATGCTGAGCCGGATTCGTTGTTGGCGTCGCCACGCTGTTCCTTTGAGGCAGAGGGCCGCCTGCCCAACAGCGGCCGCTGTCAGTTTGGGACCACTTCTGTTGTTGGGCATCGGTGCCCGTTTTTTTCCGTACATATTTCGGGCGTCCGATCATACTCAGGAGGGGAAAAAACACACAGACACAATTAATCGTCGATTCCCAAGAAAATATGGGAAACTATGGGAAGTGGGGGGATGACAAAACCCAGAAAATATAGGAACACATAAGGAATCCTTTTATTTTTGTATATTCATTTGTGTGTCCTGGGGCCCCTTCACATACGACTCTCAGATTTCTCGGGGTGGGAGTCCGTGGGGGGCCACGCGGGCGTGCTGTGGAGTCAGGCCCCCCGGCTCGAACGGGAGCCCCCCCTTCGGGGTCCGGCAGCCCGACGGCCCGCACCCTTACACATAGCGCCTCCATCTCTTTGCCCTTCCCCATTCCTCCCTCCCATAGTCGGCGGCAGGCCTGGGGGGAAGTGAGGAGGGGCGGGCATTCTCAGAAGGCTGGGAAGTCCCCCCGGCCTTCTGGGAAGTGTCTTGAGCCTTCTCCGAAGACGCAGAAGACTTCTTGGAAGGCAGGAGGGCTCTGAGAAGTCCCGCCGCCTTCTCAGAAGGCCTTCTTCGTCTCATTGCCCCCCTCGCTCGCCGCAGACCTTTGGTTGTGGTTTTTGGTCAACTTGGCCGTCTGGGACGCCCACATCGGCCATTCCGATTCCGATGTTTCGGCGATCCGATGCGGTCCCCCGCTCGTTCGCCACCGATCTAGGCTTGAGCGTGTGCCGTTTTCCTTCGCCGAGGGCGCGACGGCCCCAAAAAATGGCTGCTCGCACGACACGAAAACCTGACGCACCGGGGTAGCCGAGAGCCTTCCTCGGGGGTGGACAGAACCCCCAACAGTGACACGTCGATTAGTGAATTGTCCGTTTTCGGTTCTCGAGAGGGCGCCGTGGCCGTTATTTTCCAGGCTTGCGCCCGCCAGGTTTGGGCCTCAGGTCGTTTTCACTAAACCACGTTTTACTAAAGGGGGTTCTGTCCATCCCCGATTTCCAGAGGTGCCCGTGGAGCAGCAGCGCCTTTTCGGCCTCGGCGCGCCGAGGGGGCCCCTCCGCGAGGACGTGGCGCTGGCGCGGGCGCTGGCCGTCGGCCTGCGGGCGCAGCGGGGCTCCGGCCTGGTCGTGGCGGGCGTGCCCGAGTCGGCCAGGAGCGCGTCGAGCACGCAGAAGGACCCCGATCGGCGGGGAGCGAGGGGGGAGCGAGAAGGAGGCCTTCCCAGACATCGGGCGTCTCGAAAAAATCGAGACGGAGGTTTTTCGTCGTTTTCGGCCTCTCGGGGCCCTCGCCGGGCCTCGGGACCGTCAAAAAACGACTCGGGGTGAAAAACCGGTCCCAGGGAAGTAGTCGGGAGGTCGGGGGCCCGTGTCTCGAAAAAATCGAGACGTCGGATGTCTGGGTTCGGAGAGGGCGGCGGGACTTCTCAGGGGCCCTCGCGCCTGCTGGGGAGTTGTCTGCGTCTTCGGGGAAGGCTTGGAGGAGGAGGAGGAGGAGATGAAGGAGGAGGAGGAGGAGGAGGAGGAGGAGGAGGAGAAGGAGAGGGAGGAGAATTCCTCAGACGGCCCGGGGGCTTCAGAGCCTTCTGAGAAGGCCCGCCCCTTCGGGGAAGGCACCCACAAGAACCCCGAGGATCACCGAACGCGCTTTACTATTTGCAAAATGCCTGTTCGCAAACGTCCAACAATCAATTGGTGTTCGATGCTGTGGAGTTTGTTTGTGTCGACGCAGTGGACCCAGGCCGCTTGCGAGTACTACTTTGCGAATCGTGGGACGCGCAAAGCTCCGACGCTCCGGACAAAAATGGAGCGGCCGGTTTTGTTGGAGCTTTTTCGGCCTCCGGGGGCCGTCGCCAGGCTTGGGGGCCGTCAAAACATATCAGGATCAAAAGCCAGGGAGTAGCGGTGCCGACACGTCGTCGGTTCCCCAAGGACGCTCGTACGTCCGCCCCGTCTGTCCTCCTCCTCCTCCTCCTCCTCCTCCTCCTCCTCATCCTCCTCCTCCTCCTCCTCATCCTCCTCCGCTCTGCTTTTTCGTCCTGCTTTCCTTGCCCCCCTCGCTCTGTCTCCCGTCCCCCTGCCTTCCTGGATGTGTGCCTCTCCGCTGCCTCCTTGCCGTTCCCTGCCGTCCCCGTATGTTCTACTTCCTCCAGCGGCGTCTGCGCTCTCGGCGGCGTCGCGGTCTGTCCGGCGGTCTTCAGTCGCACGTCGTGGAGCCAGTTGCGCGTCGGTCCCTTGTGCAAGGGGAAACAATCGAGCACCCACAAGGACGATGCGGTCGGCGCGGGCCACCATCGGGGCTGCCTAGACTCCAGGAACAAAAAAGTGCATACATCTAAACATTCGGAGCTCCACGTGGGTTTCTTGGATCGGCGGTGGTCCCCCCTGGCGGCGCCTCTGGCGCCGCCCTTGCGGGCTCCGCGCGCCAGCGAGCGGGATCCAGCTCCGATCCAAGACATCCGTACGGGGATCCGAACGTTTATGATTATGCAGTTGTTTGTTCCTCTGCAGACTCCCCTCAGGCCTGGAGCGCCAAGCAGGACGACAAGGAGCCCTGGTACCAGATGGACCTGGGTGCAGCGAGGTCTTCAAGTGCAACGCTGGGGGGGGGGGACAGGCTCAGGGGGGGATGCATCTGCCCCCAATCGCCCATTCATCGCCGATTAGGGCCCGATAGTTCACCCCGCCCAGAGACGTGCGGATCTGCTATCGGGGGCCCAGCGCCGATCTCTCGGCGATGCATCTCCGACTCCTGCTCGATGCTTCCCCTGCTCCTCCCTGAGCCGTTTCCCCCCCCCGGTCATTGCCCCTCAGGTCGGTCGCCGGGGTCGTCGTCGCTCCCCGGGCTGGCAACCCCGTTCAGTGGGTTACAAAGTTCAAGGTGTCGGTCGCCACGGCCGAGACTGGGCCCTGGCAGCCCGCGGGCGAAGAGTTCGCAGGGTGCGTCTCGGAAGTGGGATCGTGCCGGGCCGTGTTCCCAGCGGCCATGGAAGCGCGCTTCGTCAGGGTCCACCCGACCGAGTACAAGACTCGGGAAGCAAATAGTGGCATGAAGAGAAGCTGTCAGGGGTCCGCACGGATTCCTTGGATCGGCGCTGGAGCCCCCTGGTGGCGGCGCCTCCGGCGCCGCTCCTGGCGCGCTCCGCGCGCCAGGGAGGGTGGGTCCAGCGCAGATCCAAGAGATGAGCGCGGGCCTCTGAAAGTTCACGTTCATGTGTGCATTCGCTCCCCGAAAGAAGCATTGTTCGCTGCGTGCGGACGTGCTCCTCGCTGGGGACGCCCCGGACCTGCCACCTGAGATCGTGGTGCTGGGGAACTTCTCACAAGGAGATCCGTTTGAGGTGGCTGGGGAAGCCGCGAACGCTTCGGCACTGGACACAAGCGCCAAGATGATGGAGGAGCAGCACCTCGCGATGTTGCAGGCAAAGCTGAGCGCTCTGCCGCAGCGGCTGCAGGCCCTGGCAAATACCTTCCAGCGGACGTTGAAATATGACGATCTCGATCTGCAGCGGCAGGCTTTGGACCAGATCCCCGTGTGCGCACTGGACGCGCTTGCAACGGCTAGCGAGGGGGCGTGCTCTCCCGAGAGCGGGGGCTACGAGATTGCCTTCATGCGCCAGCTCCTGCGGTGGTTCAAGCACTGCTTCTTCTCCTGGACCAACGCCCCGCGCTGCGACAACTGCGGGGGTGCCACGAAGGCGGTGGGCAGGGCTGAGCCGACGCAGATCGAAAAGTCGTTTGGCGCTGGCACCGTAGAAGTCTACCAGGGCCCCTGTGGTCAGCACACGCGTTTCCCGAGGTACAACGATCCAGGCAAGTTGCTGGAGACGAGGACGGGGCGGTGTGGCGAGTGGGCCAACTGTTTCACCCTGGTGTGCCGCGCACTGGGCTACGAGGCGCGGTGGGTGCAAGATTGGACTGATCACGTCTGGACGGAGATCTACAGCGACAGCTGGGGCCGCTGGGTCCACGCGGACTCCTGCGAGGCTGCAGTAGACTGCGCGCTGATGTACGAGAAGGGGTGGGGCAAAAAGCTCACCTACTGCGTGTCCTTCGCGCGCGACAACGTCCGCGACGTGTCCAGGCGCTACACCCGAAACTACGAGGCTATGCTGGCGCGGCGCGGCGAGTTCCGCGAGCAGGAACTGTCCAGGGCACTGACCGCGGTGGACGAATTCGCCGCCGAGCGTTCCCTGGCCCGCCTCTCCGCCGCTGCTGCAGAGCCGAGGCGGAGACTGCTGGAGGCGAGGGCGGAGCAGGAGGAGAAGGAGCTGGCTAGCTGCATCACCCAGGGTGGGTCCGTGAAGGAGGGGGAGCAGGTCGGGCGCACCAGCGGGGACAAGGACTGGAGAGACCAGCGCGGGGAGCTCGGCTCCACAGCGGAGGCCCGCGAGAGAGCCATCGCCTGCTCCGACAGCGGCGTCGGCGGAGGCGGCGCGCAGCCCGTGCCGGGCAGCTGGTGGAACTCTGCGGAGAACGCCAGCTTCGTGGACGGAGTACTCTCGGCGGACTTGCGGTGCTGCGACGGCTCGATGCGCCGCTGCTCCGTCAGGGTGGAGCCTGGTGCCGCGTACGACAACACCGACGGCGCTTTCGAGCGGTCGGGCTGCTCGGCCGACAACGTGCCCGGGAGCTGGCTGGGGTCTGCCGAGAACGCCCGGCTGGTGAATGGGATCCTCTCTGCGGACCTGAGGTGCAGTATCGTTCATCAAGCAGTGGCGAAGCGCCTTGGCTCCACTATAGGCCGACCAAAGAATGGTATAAGAGTCTTTTGTGGTTGCCACGAAATGTTCTTAGAACACTTCTGGCAGGGACTGTTTTGTTTTAACACATCGGGCGAATGTTCTAAGAACAGTGTTCTTCTTATTGGAACATTTTTGGGTTCTAAGGACATTTCGTGGCAGGCCCATAGGAGTGCCGGGGCGGTCGGTCCCTGCTCAATCAACGCATCCCCAACCACACCGGGCACTGGCATCTCAGCCCCGCCACCCCCCCCAAGTGAAAGATCGGCCCCTCGGCGCCCCCGAGGGGGGCCGCCCATCTCTCCCATCATCCAGGGGCGCAGCATCGGCCAGCGGGGGCCGAGGCCATGCCGGGGGGGAGAGGTGCTGCGACGGGTCGACGCGCCGCTGCTCCGTCGAGGTGGAGCCCGGCGCCTCCTACGCCAACATCGACGGCTCCTTCCGGCGGGAGGGGGCGCCCGCGCCCGCCGCGGCGCCGCCGGCGGCGCCGCCGGCGGCGCCGGGGGCGGCGGCGGCGGCGGCGGCCCTCCCGAGGCGAGGCTCCCGCCCTCTCGGCCCCCCTTCCCCCCCCCCCCCCCTCCCCCCCTCCCCCCCCCCTCCTCCTCCTCCTCCTCCTCCTCCTCCTCCCTCCTCCTCCTCCTCCTCCCTCCTCCTCCTCCTCCTCCTCCTCCTCCTCCTCCCCTCCTCCTCCTCCTCCTCCTCCTCCTCCTCCTCCTCCCTCCTCCTCCTCCTCCTCCTCCTCCTCCTCCTCCTCCTCCTCCTCCTCCTCCTCCTGGCACAGCAGAGAAGCACGAGACCACGACTAGGGTCAAGCCGGGCCCGTCCCCCTGCAGGAGGAGCATGCAACAATGCTCCCAAGATCGTCGGGGGACGTTTTTTGCTGACGACTGTTCCGCATGTTTGGTGCATGTGTTTGCTTGTCTTTTTTGTCTCGCCCACGCTCCGCCCGTAGGGGCACACGCCCGAGCCGAGCCTAAGGCGGATCGTTTTTCTGGAGGGCCCGCCGGCCTCGACATATGTACCCTGCTCGGCGGCGAGCGCGGGGGGAGGATGTGGGGAGGGGCGGGCCTTCGCGGGAGGCTCGCGGACGCCCCCCCGGGGCCGCCCGAGAAGTTTCCCAAAGCCTTCCCTGGAGGCGCAGGGGGCTTCTCAGAAGGCGCGAGGGGGTCTGAGAAGTCCCGCCGCCTCCTGAGATGGGGGAAGGAAAAATGACATAAACATAAAAACTCGGAGGTCAGCGCGGATTTCTCGGATCCGCGCTGGAACCCCCTGGCGGCGCCTCGGGCGCCGCCCCTGGCGCGCTCCGCGCGCCCGGGAGGGGGAATCCAGCGCGGATCCGAGAAATCCGCGCGGACCTTCGAGTTTTTATGTTTATGTCATTCTTCGTTCCCCTATGAGAGGGCCTTCTCCTTCTCGCTTCCCCCCCTCGCTCGTCGCCGAACTTTGGTTGTGGTTGTGGTCAACGTGGCCGCCTGGGGCGCCCACATCGGTCACAGTTAGTCCTCAGCTGGTTTCGGTGTTCTGACTTTTTCTGGCATGCGCTGAACGTCACCCCCAGAGTGCGCCCTCGATGTGGTTGTGGTCGCTTGCTGACTCCGCACCCTTGCTGGGTCCAGTTCGATCCGATCCGATTCGATATCGAATCTGGCGGGCACGATCCGATCCGATCCCGATGTGGCGGCGATCCGATGCGGCCCGATGCTTGCATCGCGCTGCCATGCATCCTGGCCCAGCCGATCCGATTCGATGTAGACTCCGGGCCGATGCAACCCCATCTGACGCAAATTCC